TTTTTTTTTTCAGGGATGAAATATCCAATTGTTATAAGGAATCCAAAGGTAAAGATTCTTAAACAACACTACTTACATCTACTTTATCTACTTTCATCCTTTCTCCTCCCTTAAAAAGTTGAATTAATCACAGTGCTGTCTTCTGTGTCCTTGGATGAATTTTGTCGAATGTAGAAGTTATTCTGAGATAAATTCTTTTTGTTTTTTTTTTTTAAGATTTTATTTATTTATTTGACAGAGAGAGAGACAGGGAGAGAGGGAAAACAAGCAGAGGGAGTGGGAGAGGGAGAAGCAGGTTTCCCGCTGAGGAGGGAGTGCGATGTGGGACTCAATCCCAGGTCCCGAGACCCGAGACCCGGGAATCATGACTTGAGCCAAAGGCAGACACTTAACAACTGAGCCACCCAGGCGCCCCCTAAGATAAATTTTTTGAGAGCAGTTTAAAAGCTTGCTTTTTAAGAAGGGTTTCAACTTGGAGTTGTCTTCACAAAGTGATTATGCCAGCAAAGAATAGGCTTATAAGCGCTTGGAGTATTTAAGGCAAAACTAATAAATATTTTATTGCTCCATCTACTAACCTGCATTAACTTATTCACTCTCTACCAGTTAGAGGACTTTGGTGGAGGGAAGATTGCTCAGAGGGAAATGAACTGCTTTCCTTTATCTGCATGTAGTCTAAAACAAGAGCTACTGAATGGCATAAAAGCATTGCATTTGCTATATATTCTCCAAGTGATCAGAGTTCAGTCATGCGAGTAGAGTCATTAATGAGGGTTGTAGGTCTTACACAATTGTGAAGGGATCTGGGGAAGCATAGGTTCAGAAGGGGAGTTGGTAGATCAGAGGCATCTCTAGCCAGTCTGTGAAGCCAAGTGTGTCCAACTACTAAAGTGGGATTGCACATGGGAAGCTCATGAAGCGTCCTGGGGAGCTCTTGCCTCTCACCCAAGTAGTGGGAGAGGGCAGCACTTAGTCAGTAGTATCAATAGTTGGGAAGCAGAGTTAGATGTGGCGCTATAATTCACTTAGCAGTGGGTTTTTGTCACCACATTGGACTGGAATGACCTTCAGAGAATAATGGCTGGGGCTTTACTTCTGCCTGCCAAATCATATGCAATTCCTGTTCTGGTCAGCTTTAACTTGGAACCATTACAAGGAAGGGGATTCTATCAGTTATTTTTCCCAGCTTAAGCAGATTGACACCCACAGTCCATCCCTTTTCAACTTGGCATCTATTTACACCCCTTATGACCACATTTAACTGCCAAATACAGTTGGTAGTAAAATTATGATTCCACCTACAAGATGCACCTATCTTTTATAGAACTGAAAACATGCTAACTCCAAAAAAGATACGAAGTCTACTCAATCCATCTTTGGGTAATGTTCATTTCTTTTTAGCTGAGTCACATTCCCTCTTTGAGATCCTTTAACTTTAATACTGAGATGTAAGGTTACCCACTACTTAAATGTATTAGATCAGTAACTCTCAACTGGAGGTGATTTTGCCACCCAGTAGATATTCAGCAATGTCTGGAGACATTTTTGTTTGTCACAATTGATGAAGGGGGTCAACACTACTGTCATTTAGTGGGTGGAGGCCAGGGATGCTGGATGTGAGGGATAAGCCCCCACAACAAAGAGGTATCTGGCCCCAAATGTCAATGGCACTGAGATTGAGAAGCCGGCCCCATGTTAGATAATGGAGAAATGGTAGTCTTCTTGTTTACTGTAAAACACAGACTGGGTGGCTTAGAGAGCAGAAATTTACTTTCTCACAGTTCTGGAGGCTAGAAGTCTAAGATCAAGGTGCCATCATGTTTGGTTTCTGGTGAGATCTCTCTTGTTGGCTTGTAGATGATCGCCTTCTTGCTGTGTCCTCACATGGCCTCCTCTCTGTGTGTGCACATTTGCAGAGAGAGTAGTCTCTAGTATCTTACAATTATAAGCTCACCAATCCTCTCAGACAGATTAGATGACCTCATATAATCTTAACTACCCCCAAGACTCTGTCTCCAAATACAGTCACCTTAGGAGCAGGGACTTCAACATATGCACTTATGGGAGGTGGACACAATTCAGTCCGTAACAGTGAGGATAAAGAAAGAATTGCATAATACATAGTCAAATATATTTATTTCAAAGTCAGGAAGAAATACTCATAACCACTACATTCTTCATTTCTCTCACCGGTCACATGTTATAGCTGATATTTATAATTTTCTCCTTCCACTACATATTCCATAGGTCCTTTGCCCGTGGCAAGCTGTTAACTCATGACTTTCATTCCTATTCACTCAGGAATGATAACTCAAACTTTCACTTCTGAAGTGTCTGTGCCATTAGTAGCCCTGCCTGTTTTGGGTTGTGGTGGTTTCCATTAACTTTTATATCTATCAATGCTAAGAGATATCCCCAGGAGATACATATTCAGGACATAGTTCTCTTCATCATCCCTAAGCTCTCTGTATGGTAGCAACTCGAATTCTCCTTGAGACTCATTTCCAGTTTCCCCATTCAGTACAGTAATCCTCTCTGCCTGTTGATTCACTGGCACAAAGAACCCAAAGCAGTCAGGTCTGGCAGTATGAGTTTACAGGTTAATGGAACCATTTTTTATTCTCTAATGGAAGCATTTCTCCCTTGGGAATCAAGACTTCTAAACATCAGAGCACAAAATTTTGGGGACAGAAAGCAAAAATTTCACTAGTGGATTATTGTAATAGTAAGGAGCTATTCCCATTTCTCCCATTTCTACCTCTTGACTTCCAAACCTGTGAATCCTGGCTCTTGGTGAAGCAACACCGTATATTAATCGTATAGAGTATCCTGGAAGACATTGCCCGAGCCCTGCGAGGTGTTGCCAGCCAGCTAGTTCTGTTTTTTATCTTCAAAAACCCATTCTACTTTGGGTCACCTAGCAGGTTAAAGACGATGGAGAAAATGGTCAGATCAGTGATTTCCACAAGAAAGAACTTACTGTTATACTTCATTTGTTGTAAAATAAGCTCACTGATTAGAAGAAGTAATGCTTCTGGGCAAAATACCATAATGGTGAATAAGTCATCCTGTAGGTTCACAGATGGTTTCCTCAGAAGCATTGTAGTCAGGGAAGACCGATCTATATCCAGGACAACTATCTATTTCAGTGAGGACTAAGTGCTGGCTTTTTTTTTTTTTTTTTTTGATTGAAGTGGTCCAGGGACCATCTCAGTGGCTCTATCGATCTCTGCTGTTGGTGGATTGAACATTCAGCAGTGGCTATAGGCAGATCAGCCTTGGGGAGTAAGTCCGTGTTGCTGACTGCATGCATCACCTCCATCCTTGTTGCTATGACCGTTTAGCTCAAGAAGCCATTGAAGGACGGGGGTGCCTGGGAAAGAGGCTAGTTACCATCCATAGAGCAGGTTATCTTGTCTACTGATGATCAAAATCTTCATCTGCCATGGTTACTCTCAGTGAGGATTCACATGGAACTCCAGTATCTTTACTCTCTGAGCCTTTTTGGAGAGGTCCATTCACATACCTTTTTTCCAGAGCTCCATTTCCTAAACAACCAGCCATAGGATTAGTTATTGCACATGAAGCTGTATAGATCCATACTTCTATCCAGGTTTCCTTCTAGGTGAGAGAAACAACAGGTATGGTGTTCAAAGTTCTGCCCACTGGGAAGTTTTCCCTGCACCACAGTCCTTCAGGTCACTCCTGAGTGGGGCTCTGGTTTGTAGCTGTTCACTTTCAAGTGCCAGGATGTTGTGCAGAAACATTTGTAAACTAGGCCTATATTTTTCCTTCCTTGGTCAGCTGATCATAGAGAACTTCCCATAGGGCCACATGGGCAACTTGAGGAGGAGGAAGTAATTTAGTAGGACCAAGGGTCATGGGAATTAGAGCCACCTCCCTCTGTAACTTAGGTGTGCCTGCAGGACCTGTACACCCCTGATCTTGTATATTCTGCTACCCCTTGATGACAGAGTACTGCGGTACACACCCAATTTTGTGGCTTGGTGAGTCAGACAACATACAGTTAATAATGAATTGTTCACATGGTAACTTAGTGATCTGTGGTCAAGTGTTGAGTCAAAGCCAGAGCACTTTCTCAAAAGGAAGACAGTTATCTGCAGAGGATGATATAACTTTCTTCCAAAATCCTGAAGTTCTGTGTTGTGATTTGCCTATAGGGACCTACCAGAGTCTCCATAAAACATCTCTGTCTGCCACAGACACCCTGATTACCATCAAATCTGCTGGGTCATGTGGCCCAAGTGACTGACAGAGCATCCAGGGATCTCCATTCAAAGAAGGATTAAAAGTGTGTTTCTGCTCCTGCCCTCAATGAAGGGCCATTTTCACTAGAGTATGGCATCATGTGATGAAATATATGCAGGGGGCTCTGGGATACCAGTGAATATGTATTTCACCCACAGTTACTATAGCTGTTGCCTTTCACTTTGGCATTTACCTTTAGTAGAGTTAAATATAATTAAATATTTTTAAATTTATATATTTTTTAAAAGATTTTATTTACTTGAGAGAGAGAGAGAGATCATGAGCAGGAAGAAGTGGAGGCAAGGGGAGAAGCAGACTCCCTGCTGACCAGGGAGCCCGATGTGGGACTTGATCCCAGGACCCTGAGATCATGACCTGAGCAGAAGGCAGGCACTTAACTGACTGAGTCACCCAGGCAACCAAACATTTTTAATATAATTAAAAATTTGAGTCAACTTACTAAGTTGAATGTCTATGCTTCTGTGAGAGGTTAAAAGAGGTTAAATTAAGAATAAATTTTGGGGTGTGCCTGGGTGGCTCAGTGGGTTAAGCCTCTGCCTTCGGCTCAGATCATGATCTCAGGGTCCTGGGATCAAGCCCCGCATCAGGCTCTCTGCTCAGAAAGGGAGCCTGCTTTCCCCTCCCCTTCTGCCTCTCTGCCTACTTGTGATCTGTCTCTCTCTCTGTCAAATAAATAAATATTAAAAAAAAAAAAAGGAATAAATTTTGGGGGGTGCCTTGGTGGCTCAGTTGGTTAAGTGTCTGACTCTTGATTTTAGCTCAGGTCATGATCTCAGGGTTGTGAGATCAAGCCCTGCATAGGCTCTGTGCTGGGCATGGAGCCTGCTTAAGATTCTCCCTCTTCCCTTTCCCTCTGCGCCTCCACCTCCTGGATTTCTTAATCAATCAATCAATCTGGGTGGGGGAGGATTTGCTAACTAAAGATTTATATTTTATATATGGGTAAAAAGTCTGTTTTACTTCTGAAATAGCTGTAGAGATGCATAGTTTATTTTTTTAAAGAAATTTTTGTTTGAACAAATGTATCATTCAGTGTTTACCTAAATTTTGATTTGGGATGTGAAATTAAAGTATTACTGATTTTAATTCTTATTTCATGTTTAGCATAAAATTATTTCAGGGACCTATGAAAGTTTTTAGTAATTTCTTTGTTTGAAATTGTTCCCTGATTTTTTTTTTAAGATTTTATTTTATTTTATTTTTTTATTTGAGAGAGAGACAGTGAGAGAGAGCATGAGAGGGGAGAAGGTCAGAGGGAGAAGCAGACTCCCCATGGAGCAGGGAGCCTGATGTGGGACTCGATCCCAGGACTCTGGGATCATGCCCTGAGCTGAAGGCAGTCATTCGCTTAACCAGCTGAGCCACCCAGGCACCCTGTTCCCTGATTTTTTTTTTTTAATTTTTTTTTTTTAAGATTTTATTTATTTATTTGCCAGAGAGAGAGAGAGAGAGAGAGCACAGGCAGACAGAATGGCAGGCAGAGGCAGAGGGAGAAGCAGGCTCCCTGATGAGCAAGGAGCCCGATGTGGGACTCGATCCCAGGACGCTGGGATCATGACCTGAGCCGAAGGCAGCTGCTTAACCAACTGAGCCACCCAGGCGTCCCTGTTCCCTGATTTTTAAAAGAGAACTTGTAGGTTGTTGCATTCTACAAATTCTCTTATCTTTGCATTTATCATAAGTCTTATTTATGTTTTATGTTCGAAGAGCAAAAGAACTGCTGACCTTTCAAGTAGCAACTAGTAGATTTATATGACATAAAAATATTTCTTGTACTTCCGGTATACCTCTAGATGAACAGGAAAGATACTAACCTATTTAGAAGAAAGCATTTTTTTGTTTCTGTTGATATATCGCTTTTGACTTCAAGGGTCCTAAAACTGTCATGGTTTAGCCTAGCTAATTTGAATTCACTATGAAAAAGTTTCATCTGACTTTTTCAGAAGTGTAAGTTGTAGAACTTGAAAAGAGGCTTACTTTTGTAGCAAAATGTGATGTAAAGATAGAATAAGTCTGAATCAGTAAGAGCTGGAAGGAAAAACTGTCAAGGCAGGTAACTCCTAGGCTCCAGAAACAGGTTTTCTGAGAAAGAAGTCTAGGGACAAGAAATTACCTAGAGCAGGGAGGTGCTAATTGTTTACTCTATAAGAATTAAAGAGGTGGGAATTAAAATGTGGTAGGGAATTGGGGTTAAATGAAATCATTTAATCAATTAGGGTGACAAATTGGCTAATGCTGGCAGGGTAGAGCAAAAAATATGCAGATGATCACAAAATAAAATTTATGGGAAATTATAGCAGCCTAAGATTAGTAATCTCCTTAACTATAGTGTGTGTTCTCAGTAAATGTGTATTGAAAGGATGAGATTTCAAAACTAGCCTCAATTTACAAAGTATACATTGATCAGGAAGGAGAAATTCGTTGGTGGGTTGGAATTGAGCAAGATTATTGAGTGTGAAGCAATCTGAGAGTGAGAGTGTAGTTACTCATAGATAAGATGAGAAATCTGAAAGACAGACAAGGCCATATTGGTGGGAGCCATCCATTTAAGTGAAGTTTGCTTCTTTTTACAACAAATAGTTAAGTTTCATGGTAGGTCTTAGTAAAATAGGGGTGTGTGTTTGTCTAACTTAAAGTATCCTCACAAGCTCAATGATTTTACCTCTAAATAAAAAATTTAAGGTGATACCTTCTTACGTGCTAGTACCATAAGTTTCTAGCTGCTATCTAAATGCTGAAGAACTTATTTTGCTGATACTTGTACTTAATTCCCTCTTTTAAAAGAAATAAAAAGAAAAAAAAGTCATTTTTATACCCTATCTTTCCTATCATCTCTTTTCCCCCCTTGACATATTCTCCTCTCTACTTCCTACTTTTCTTTTCTTTTGCACTAGGGAGAGGAAGTTCAGTGTCAGTATGTTGTGACATGTGCAGGACTTTACTCGGACCGTATTTCAGAATTGAGTGGCTGTAATCCTGACCCTCAAATTGTACCATTCCGGGGAGATTACCTGCTCTTGAAGCCAGAAAAACGCTATCTTGTAAAAGGAAATATTTATCCGGTAGGTAATGATGCTTCCGCCTCCTCACCCTTCCCCAGATGGTTGTGGGCAAAAAGGGAATGAAACAAAAACTTTTACTTGGGTCAGAAGTTAAGGGTTGTCTTGAAGTGCTTTTTGGAAAAGCATTTCACCTATTTCTCTTGTCATTAAATCCCTAAATCTTTATTCTGAAATCATGGTTATAAAATTGTAATTAAGTGCCTACAAGTGCATGTCTAGAAAGCAGAGTGTACTATGGGAGGGACTATCAAGAAAGAACCCAATTCTTCCCCCTCTCTGGTGGAAGGAGCACTCATAAGAGAACTTTCCCTTACAGCATGCCCAGATACCCAGCTGACTTTCTCAATTCAGTATTGATTGGTGCAGAAAAGGGGATGTGGCCACTGTAGTTTCATGGTATAGCCAGAGCCATTTACATGAAGAATTCATTCTTCTCTCTGAAACTACTAAGTTGAACCAGATGAAATTGCTGCTATTGAGCTATTTAATGTTTTTTGATGGTGCCAAAACATACATTTCATCTGCTTCAATCTAATGCATTTCCACTTTCTAAAAGCCTATACTATAAATGAGTGTTTTTTTACTGGTAGCTCTGATTTTACTTGCCAGCCACATAGATTGTGGCTGAGGGGCTGGGGAGCGGGGAATAACCTGAACTAGGACAGTTCTCTCTTTTTTTTTAATCCAGAAAGAGGAACACATGGGACAGTGTATACTGATGTCAATAGCATCACTGTTTCCTGTGTGGCATTTCTAGGCAGAAGCATGTAAATATAGGAAGGAATATCTGAGTAACAAATCAAAAGTAACGCAACTAAAATACATCAGGAGAAAGTGTTTTATATTATCAGATTAGTGCTTCCATGTATAATAGAATGTAATATGAAATGATAACTCTTTGACATATTAAATCCATAGGTCCCAGATAGCCGGTTTCCTTTCCTAGGGGTTCACTTCACACCTAGGATGGACGGCAGTATTTGGCTAGGGCCCAATGCGGTTCTTGCCTTTAAACGAGAAGGCTATAAACCCTTTGACTTCAGTGCCAGAGATGTTATGGATGAAATTATCAAGAGGTAACTTTATTTACATGACAAAAAAATATTTTATATGCTTATATTTTTAATGTGGGAAAATTTATCTTTCTTGATATTCCATTGTGTAAATCCTCATATTTGTGATTGGTATATTGATTTTTTTATTAATCCAGATTAAGAGCTTTGTGGAATAAACATAAGGTTTTAACTACTTCATGAAAATTCTGGGGCACCTGGGTGGCTCAAATGGTTAAGCATCTGCCTTCAGATCAGATCATGATCCCATGATCCCATGATCTCAGGGATCTGGGATCGAGCCTTGTCAGGTTCCCTGCTCAGGGATGAGCCTGCTTCTTCCTTTCCCTCTGCCATTCCCTCCGTTTGTGCTCTCTGGCTCTCGATCTGTCTGTCAAATAAATAAGATCTTTAAAAAAAGAGAAACAGAAAGAAAAAAGAAAATTCTCATGAGCCAGGGTAGTGTCTTGGTCAGAAAGAACAAGACCAAGAGACAAACACATATCTGACAATCCAAATCTTGTTTGGCTAATCTTCTAGTTGATTTTGAAAAAAAAAAAAAAAAAAAAAAAAAAAAGTTTCTTTCAAAATCAGTAGGTGGCTTACTTTGATAAGATCATTTCAAGTCAGTCACCATTATTTTGAAAACCACTGGAGAAATTGCTGATAACAAAGTTGTTTCCTTTCGTGGAAAACTAACAATAAATTGTGTTGACCTAGATGGCAGATTCTTTATTATGGTAAGAAATAACTCAGTGAGGTATTTTGTTTGGTCCTTTTAAGAGTGTTGCACTCTAGAGGTTTTCACATCAAGATCATTAGAAAGCTTATTAAGCTATTCTTGAGTTTTACCCTTCACTGATTCTGAAACAGATTTTAGGATGGGGCTTCCTAGTATGTGTGCTTATGAAAACACATATATATGTACACACAGGCTCCGTAGAGTCCTGCTTGAGGACCTGGAGTATCTTACCTCTGGCTGACTAAAGAAAAGTAGGTACTCCATTTGCTTTATGACTCTGACTTAAAGATCTGTTAACGCCTTTTAGGTGTGATTTTGAAAGCGTGTAACATTTGCATTAGAAAACCTTGATGTTGGCAGATTTTATAGAATTCCAGTTTGAAACCATTCTTAGGAATTTAAATTTGGAAGATATTCCTTTGATGAAGTTTCCTTCTTATATTGACCAAAAGTTGATTTACTTTTAATACATGGTTTTCTTTTCTGATTTTGCCTATATTTTTGTGATGCCACCTACCCAGATCTCATAGTTGTAAAGATGTTTCATAGTAATAAAGAATTCCTTTCTCTCATAAAATTTTTTTTCTTTCAGTGGCTTGATTAAATTGGTGTTCCAGAATTTTTCCTATGGAGTCAATGAAATGTATAAAGCCTGTTTTCTCAGTGCAACAGTGAAGCACCTTCAAAAGTTTATCCCTGAAATTACTACCAGTGATATACTGAGGTAAGGAAAAGCTGTGAGGATTGCAAATGTGGTCATGACCTTGGGAGGTGGTTCTGACTTGGTGATTCATAAGCACACTTGCAGAGTCGGCGTGCCTACTGAATCTTCATGTGCCCTCTCTTTTCCAGCAAGCTGTTGAGTTGTTGCAGTGCAGGCATCTGGCCGTGCTGCATCCTGGCCCTTAGTGCCTGAGCTACGTGCGTTTACAGTTTTCTGACCACCTTACACCATTATACTGAACTGTCTACCACAGTTGTATTGTGATGCCACCTTAACCTTCATGTCTAGCTGTCACTCATGATAAAAACATCTTGCCTGAAATTTTTTAATCTCCCTGGCTACTCACTCTTGTCACTGCAAAGCCTTTTGGTTTTAATTCTGTATAAGATCACTGATCACCATGTTAACTAGGTAAGAAACACAGAAAACATTACATTTTATTTGCTTTTTACAACCTTTTAGACATACTTCTATACGTGACGTCTTCCTTTCTCCCTCTTTTGTTCTTTCTTGGATCCTGCTCCACTCAGGAATTGTAGTTGCAGGCCAGAAGTGGGAAGTAGTGTGGTAACAGCCAGTCTGAGTCCTAGTACTGCAGGGGTGTGTGGCCAAGGAAGAATAACTCAAGAAGGAAGGATAACTTTTTTTCTCAAGGATAAAAGGCTTTCTGGACTTAAGCTGTACATTGTCCTAAATACCACCCAAGCATATTTTCTTTTTCTGTTTGGTGATATTTTAGGGTGTTCACCATTTTCCCTGACCAAGCTATTGTTAGACCTAATCAGCAATGTACTTTGAAGTACTCTCTGTCCGTGAATCCATCCCTCCATGAATCTCTAGGGCACTGAGTATCTTTCTTCTCAGTAACAGCTGCTGAACTTGCCTGGAAAGAGAGCGGTAATCATGTCAGCTGTCTCCCCTAGGGGAGTTGAGCGTCATGGTCTAAATCTGACTCTTAAGGTATCAGTCTCAGACCAGCCTCTTTGAATCCTTAGAAGAACTATTAAAACCCAGCTAATGTTTTTACTCTTATCTCTCTCACTCCTTCTACTCACCTCCTGAAATTGAAGGGATAAAAATATCTAGGCTTTCTTTTCTTTCACTCACCTATAAATAAAGGCTTGTGTGTTTTCAGTGGTCTGCTTTAGCAGTCTTCTTCTGTTTTATATCTGAAAATAGAGTGGTCGAATCTGGTATCTTTTACTGATATTAATATTCCTTAAAAAACACAATAGGTGGGGGTGTCTGGGTAGCTCAATTGGTTAAACATCTGCCTTCAGCTCAGGTCACGATCACAGGGTCCTGGGATCGAGTCCTATATTGTGCTTTCTGCTCAGCAGTGAGTCTGCTTCTCCATCTGCCCCTCCTCCCACTCATTTTCTTAACTCTCTCTCTGTCTCTCAAATAAATAAATAAAATTAAAAAACAAAAACAAAAAGGCCCACAATAGGTGGACGTAGTGAATTCTGTATATGAACAGTTGCAGTGAATTCACTACCCATATTCTATTACCACCCTTTCATAGACATCTGGGGAAAACTCTTTAGACCAGTGGATTTTATGTTGTAGAATTGGGTTTTGGTGAGTATTCCTGTATCTGGATGTAAGCATGTGAATTTCATTTTCCAGATTCATTAGCATGTAGTAGAAAAGGGCACACAGCTCTGTAGACAGGTACATTTAGGGACAAATTCAACCTAATCAGAGGATTTCTCTTTGGAGACAGAAGCTGGACACATTCAGCGATTCCAAATACTCCTTCTCTTGATTCCTGTAGCTATTAAAAGAAGGAAATTATCAGTAGCAAAAAGGAATTTATAGAAAATATGTTTGATATCATTTATATCAGTTTGAACAATACCATATATAGTTTATGGATTATATATATTATGTGAAAATAGTAACAAGCATGGAAGTAATTAGCATCTAATTCGAGAGAGTGGTTACCTCTGGGGAGAGAAGAGTATGGGATCAGTGTTCCATAGGTGGCTTCTGTCTTATCTATGAGCTTTATTTCTTAAGCTGTTTGGTAAAAAAGAAAAAGAGAAAGAAAGAAAAAAATAGGTGTTTATTATGTTATTCTCTGTACCTTGTTATATGCCTGCAATATTAAATAATAATAATGAAATAAGATCAGTTGACTTTCCCACATTTTGAAGCTCAAGTCCTGCCTGTCTTGCAGCTCAATGCAGTAAAACCATAAGTGCTCTATCATTAATTTTGAGGCAGAAGCATATTAAGCAGTTTTAGATAGTCAAAAGAACTGAAGCTACACTTTCAGTAGGATATTTAGGTTAAGAGTGTATCCTTAAATTGCCACTGAAGGGCATCCAGCTTGACTTCCTACTGCTTACCCAGAACTTTTGGGGCAATAATTTACTGATGAACATTGGATTAGAATGTAAAGTTATACTCTGTCAAATACATGTACTAGGTATATAAATTTCTACTTTAAAACAAAATTTTATTTGAGAGCGAGACAGAGAGCACAAGCAGGGGGTGGAGGCAGAGGGAGAGGGAGAAGCAGGCTCCCTGCCAAGCATGGGGCTCGATCCCAGCACCCTGAGACCATGACCTGAGCCAAAAACAGACACTTAACTGAATGAGTCACTCAGGCTCCCCTAGGTATATAAATTTCTCATTGTTAAGTGATAATTTCTCAGGTTCTTAATTTTAGCTCTGAAGTCCTTTCATTTTTTCTGTGATTAATTTTGACATGGTAATCTAACAGTTTTTATCTGTTAGTACTTTAAGAGTGGAAAAGATGAAGACACATATGCCAGGATCCCCTCATTTCATTTTTAAAAAATGAATTATTTGGGGGAATTTTAGAGTAAAATTTCAGGCAAAATGTTTTCATGGTGAGTGATAGTTAAAGACTATATATGTCATTGTGAAAGGCAAAGGTGAAAGCCAAACATTCCTACAATTAAGGTGATCTAGATCAAGGCTTCCCAATCTTGGCACTATTGAAATTTTGGTCCAAATAATTCTTTGTTGTGGGAGATTGTCCAGTTCATTATGGAATGTTTAGCAGTGTCTCTGGACTTTACCTACTAAATGCCAGCACTAGTTACAACCAAAAATGTCTCCAGACATTGCCAAACGTCCTCTAGGGGGCAAAATCTCCCTTGGTTGAGAACAACTAGTCTAGAGAATGTGACAACGCTTGCACTGCAAAATACTCAAGAGTCCGGAGAAAATATAAAAATCCCTTGAAAAACATGTGGTTGTGAATGCCAGAAAAATCAGGTTAAATAGCATAAAATAATATGGCAGAAATCATCAGTGATTACAATAAATGTAAGTATACTTAGTAGTTAAGACAGAAATTGTCATGTTGGATTAAAAAATTTCATCTATGTGCTAGGCAGATTGCTTATTAGAAGGAAGATTAGTAGGGACACCTGGGTGGCTCAGCTGATTGAGTGTCCAGCTCTTGGTTTTGGATCAGGTCATGATCTCAGGAAGTCTTTTTTTTAAAAACAGATTTATTTGTCAGAGAGAGAGAGAGAGTACAAGCAGGAGGAGCAGCAAGCAGAGGGAGAAGCAGGCTCCCCACTGAGCAAGGACCCAGATGAGGGTTAATCCCCGGACCCTAGGATCATGACCTGAGCCAAAGGCAGATATTTAACCAACTGAGCCACCCAAGTGTCCCAATAAATAAAATCTTAGAAAGGAAAAAAAAAAAAAGAAGATGAAAGATGAGTACTAGTCATTTTAGATAAAATACACTTTAAGGCAAAAATTATTAGCAATAAAGAAGATCAATATAAACTTGTTGCATATAATAACAGAGATATGAAATAGAACAAAAGTGGACATAACTGCAATCAGAAATCAACCAATCCACAGTTGTGGTGATTTTGAGACCCATCTGTTGATAGAAGATAGATCAAGCAGGTAAAACATTAGAAGATTTGAATAACACAATTAAAATACTTGATTGAATATGTATAGGACTCCACAACTCCCATTACAGAATGCTTGTGTTATTCAAGCCCTCAGAAAATATATACAAAGGCTCAGAAAGTTCTAATCCTCAAGTCAAGTTCTCAACAAAATTCAGAAACTGGGCATAGAAAAACCATGTTCTCCTGTCAGTCCATTTAGGGTGAGGATTAGTAACAAAAATATCCCTCCTTCATGTTTGGAAATTAAGGTGGAGTAGTTTACTTTCCCCATACAATATGTTCATGTGAACTTCTATTTTTAGATTAACAGTAGATCCCATGGTGAGTTTTATAAAATACTTAATTGTCCTGTTTGGAACTGGTCAAAGATGTCAATTGTAGCCTTTCATAGCTCTTTTCCAGCTCACAGGATAATGCCTGCCACAGAGCAGTAAAGCAATAAAGACAGCACTCTTCAGATGAAGGAATGCCTTTTGTTTCTAGACATATTTAAGGGTTTAGAGTTTACATTCCCATTAAATTTAGCTGTAAATATAGCAAAATACATGGCTACAGATAGCACTAAACTGCTCAATGTAGCTGAATTCACAAATATTAAATACACTAGCTTGTTCTTTCAGCTATTAAAATAAAATTTTAAAGAATTAGCAGTTAAGGAGCACCTGGGTGGCTGAATCAGTTAAGTGTCCAACTTTTGTTACAGCTCAGGTCTTGATCTTAGGATTATGGATTCTGGCCCCACATGGGGCTCCACACTGGGTATAGTGCCTGCTTAAAAAAAAAAAAAAAAAAATAGGGCGCCTGGGTGGCTCAGTGGGTTGGGCCGCTGCCTTCGGCTCAGGTCATGATCTCAGGGTCCTGGGATCGAGTCCCGCATCGGGCTCTCTGCTCAGCAGGGAGTCTGCTTCCCTCTCTCTCTCTGCCTGCCTCTCTGTCTGCTTGTGATCTCTCTCTGTCAAATCAATAAATAAAAAATCTTAAAAAAAAAAAATAGAAGTTGGGGCGCCTGGGTGGCTCAGTCATTAAGCATCTGCCTTCAGCTCAGGTCATGATCCTAGGGTCCTGGGATTGAGTCCCATGTCAGGCTCCCTGCTCAGCAGGAAGGCTGCTTCTCCATCTCCCACTCCCCCTGCTTGTGTTCTCTCTCTTTCTATCAAATAAATAAATAAATCTTAAAAAAAAAATAAGAAGTTAAAAAATAAAGTTTCTAGCCTTATTGAGTACTTAGTATGTACAGGGCACAAATCTAGACATGAGGATAAAGTAGGGGTGGTGTATAAGATTTTGGCCCTTAGGAAATTCGTGGTTTATTTTACCTGAAATTTCAAGTTATAATGCTCATGTCAAGAGGAGGTGTTCTGTTGGGGAATGCCTATATGTAATCATGCCGAGAAAAACCCTGAAGTTGCTTTAAGTGCTGAAGAGGCAACACAAAGAATTTTGTAGTTTAAACATTTCCTGTTAAGTAGTTAACTTTAGTTTGAGCTCAAGAGAGATCCTTAGAAAAACAATATTGCATATTGTTTTTTACACTTTGGATTACACTTTGAACACTTGGGCTGGAGGGGACACTGAGAAGATAATTGGTGTTTGTAAGAGAAGTAAATTAAGTATAGACATATTTGTAATTGCAGTTAATCAGTATTATATTTGCTTAGAAGGGGAAGTCAAGGGAATGTACTAACTAAATCTCTGTAAGAGAGGAAAGTTTTATTTTGATCATTCATCAATGACTGTGTGTCCCCTATGTGTTAGCTTTCTGCCAGATAAAAGGAGCAGGACAAGAAAACTCCCAGAGATGCTCTTAAGAGCAACAGCAGCGTTGTTCAGGAAAAGAGGAGAGAAGTGCTGCTCTCATGAGCTGAGATAAGCTACAAGTACAGAATGTATAAAATGGAGCACATGCTGGCTAATAACACAGTGTGTCAGCTGATCTATGTCCTTACCCAAAGAAATGTTAGCTTCAGTCTGGTTCTTTTTGTGTTCTAAGTGTTGTATCTGATTCTTCCTTGGAAATCCTTACACCCCAAAACCCCCCTGCCCAGGTTCCCTGCAGGCTTCCATAGGGCAGATTATATATCCTTATTATAGAACCTTATACTCTTGTTGTAGTTCTCATTCACCTCTCTACAAAGGAACAGTTATAGCGGTGTAACTTCAGGCAAGTTATTTAATCTGTGCTTCTTTGCTGTTAAACAGAAATGGTATCAGCCTCTTATAGTTGTGAGAATTAGCATTCCTAGTACAGAGAAAGCACTTAGTAAATAATAGTTATTAGTTATTATGATCATTATCTTAATATCATTAGAGGGCAGTGCTCTTATAATGTTCTTTCTGTCTTCCTAAGTACTTATCTTCATTGGCCCAGAATCCCAAATGTTTAATATTTTTGCCTGATTTCTTGAGTCTTTATGGTGTGTTTGAGGCAGCTGTTTTCTTTCTTTCTTTCTTTCTTTCTTTCTTTCTTTCTTTCTTTCTTTCTTTCTTTCTTTTTTTTTTAATTATTATTTTAAGTAACCTCTATGCCTAACATGGGACTTGAACTCACAACCTCAGGATCAAGAGTTGCCTGCTTTTCCAACTTAGCCAGCCAGGCACCCCCTAAGACAGCTATTTTCAAACTCCGTTTTCTGGACAGTTCCAAGGGAGGTAATTTTTTTTGTTGTTTTTAGGTTAAGCAGGATTTATTTTCATTTGTAAGAGAACCCTCTTATAACAGCTTTATTCAATTCTCCTAAAAATGGTGGCATTCTTTTAGAGGCAGCCATTATATAAGTAGAATGGTGGATTCAACCTCAAAATGTAGGCCCTGGTTAGCTTTATTATTCTGCATGTGATCATGATAAAAGATTAGGATGTTCTTCACATTTCCAAGCAAAATCCAATTTAAAAAGCTTGTTCTTAATAGACCTCTAAAAACAGCCATTTGAGACTAAACCAGCAGAACATTACATCACCCCAGTAAAGAATAGGTTTCATTACATGCACCAACAAATGACATGGCTAGCTTCTGCATTCCACTTTTACAGAATTTATTGTATACCTCTTATACCAAACAGCATTTTAAACACTGGCATATAAACTCCCTAATAAGATAAAGCAAAGACAAAAGTGTTTATCAGAAACAAAATACATCATCACTTAATAGTCTTCAAACATTATTGTACTTCAACTTTCATAATTTTGCCAGTGCATTCATGGAACAATCTGCAGACAACTCATTTTAACAGACAACGAACACTTTAAGGGACATGACTGTCCTAACTGTTTATTAGGTAAGAATTTTACAGATATTATTAGCAGTAATGGTGGAGCTGGAGAGTATCACGTCTTGTCCATTCCACACAGCAAGACCCTCTAATAGTGTGCTGGAACTTGTGACCCTTTCTAAGGCCACAGCTCTTGGCTCTGGCGGCCTACAAATATCAGCCCTCACATCTCCCTGTGCTTGTGGTGTGGTGATCCGCTGGGTGTCAGAGTTTCTTCTGATAGCTTTATGGAGTGGATCAGTGAGGATAACCTCAGAGAATTTACACATGGAATTTTCAGCAACCCAGTAAGAAGAATTCAGGACTCGTAAAGCCCCGCAGTAGTGTCTAGCTCGCTCATCTGTAACAGACTGAAGGCCTCAGGCAACCTGCGGCCAGTTAATTCCATGATGGGCAGGCTTGCCTTCGGTCTTACCCTTAGGATCTGGGTATTCGTGGCCACTGCGTTGCACACGAATCCAATATAAGACACAACCTTGCTCAGTCTTGTATAAGGGAGGTACTTTTGGATTCACAAATATTTTTATTCGGATTTCATCTGTCAGTTTTAACTATCTTTAAAAAAAACTAATTTGGGAACTCAAGTGTTACAAAGCAGAACTTTCAGTCATAAGGGCTCTTACCATATTAACATGCTGCCGAGTTAATTCATTTTTTGCTTTTCCTATCATCTCATTCTTTTTTTTTTAAGATTATTTACTTATTTATTTGACAGACAGAGATCACAAGTAGGCAGAGAGGCAGGCAGGGGTTGGGGGTGGGGGGAAGCAGGCTTGCCACAGAGCAGAGAGCCCAACATGGGGCTTGATCCCAGGACCCTGGGACCATGACCTGAGCCGAAGGCAGAGGCTTCAACCCACTGAGCCACCCAGGCGCCCCATCCTATCATCTCATTTAATCGAAGGCTATCCTGATAGGGAAGGATAAACTGTTGAAAATAAAAACAAACTACAAAAAATAACTTGCTGGCATTTGCAGATACTGCTCTCCATCAAATTTAATTTATAATCAAAACAAAATGCAGGGCGCCTGGGTGACTCAGTGGGTTAAGCCTCTGCCTTCAGCTCAGGTCATGATTTCAGGGTCCTGGGATAGAGCCCTGCATCGGGCTCTCTGCTCAGCAGGGAGCCTGCTTTTCCCCCTCTCTCTGCCTGCCTCTCTGCCTCCTTGTGATCTCTCTGTCAAATAAATAAATAAAATCTTTTAAAAAAATGCAAAAATAAATCAAATTCTGTAGTGGATATTTAGGAATGCAACTGACATACATAACTCCTATTTTTATTGTTTTATATTAGAAGAGACTTATTTATTCCCATTGACTGATTTTATAATAAATTCATCTTATAAATCCAAATTAATTCATCAGTTCTAATTGTGGATTTATCCGCTCTAATTGTGGCTACTTTGGGGAAAAACAAATATTTATAAGTAAATATTTGTGTATTCTTTGGTAAGCATTTATTAACACTGTTACATGACAGGCATGTAACATGTAACGTGCTCTAGGCTAAGGATATATTTGACAGGCTACAAACTAATAGCCTTTGGCTAAACACAAACCTATTGGGTTTCTGCGTAATTGTGCATTTAGAAGAATAAAGACTTTATTGATTTAAGAATACTTTGAAACCGCTGTTTTGTAAAGTGTCCTATCTCTTCCAGACAGTTGACTACCACTCTTGGTTTTGCAGAGGTCCAGCTGGAGTAAGAGCCCAAGCTCTGGATAGAGATGGAAATCTGATAGAAGATTTTGTATTTGATGGAGGAGTTGGAGATATTGGAAATCGCATTCTTCATGTGAGAAATGCACCCTCCCCTGCAGCTACTTCTTCTCTTGCAATTTCTGGAATGATTGCAGATGAAGTGCAACAAAGATTTAAATTGTAAATAATGTAAGGAGCTAGGTATGCATTTTAATTTCCATATTCAACAATAAGAATATACTAATTGCATCCTTTAATTTAAGGAAAATGATTTGAAAATCTCCTTTTTAGGTATCCTAACAACTGAATTGTTAGAATGCTGTAACATATAAATAATAATTTTTTAAAGCCCATCCCCTTTCACTTTGTGAATAAAGAAGCAAGGTACAGTTGTATCTGTCCTGAATCCCTTTGTTATTGACTTGTCCTTACCAACCATGATCTAGAGATTTGGCTTTCTAGAATTTCTGGGAATGATGTCACAAAAAATTGTTCCCTTAACTTTTTGGCTTTATGATTTCTAAGCTTTTTATTCTCTGCTAAATAAGAAAATATAGTATATTGTAGGTTGCAAACCTCCTTTAAGTTTTGAAGTCATAGGAAAGCTCACATTATTTGGAGCAACAGTATTTGTATTTGGGATTTAAAATTCTTGATTTAAAGAAAATATATGAAATTTCACACTTTTAAGTAGTTTGAATAAGATTCTATGTAGCTATAATATTTGTAAGAAATAACTTTGCAAAAGAAACATAAAGTCTTTATTATTTCCAGGTTTTTTATAACTTAGTGTGGGATTACCACTAAATCCAAACAACAGTTCACTATGAGTGGTTCTTGCTGACTCTTTATAGTCTTTTGTGGTTGAGAAAAGAGAATTTAGGATTTAGAACTGATAGGTTTTTATGAGAGCAGTTTTAGGATCCTAACACTGAAATATAGAACTCTGTAATTTTAAAAATTATTTACCTCTCTATCTCTGTTTTTCAGTCATACCAAGTTTCTCAAACATTGGCCAAGATCACTAATTATTCATGCCTACTTAGTTTTCAGGGATCCTATGAACTTTTATGAGGATATTTTTTCATTTGGGGGAAATAACCTAACTTTGAGGCATTCACTTTTGTAAACCGCAAAAGTGCCTTACATTCATGTGTACTTCATGAGTATTTCAAATTATGGCCCAGTGCCGGTACTGTATATTGTATATATGTGTGTGGTATCTGTTGAAATGATTCTTGCAGTTCAGAAAGTTGGAAAACAGAAATATAAATGAATTTATGGCCGCCTGTTGATTGGGAAAACTTTTATTACAGAACCATCATGTAGGTGAAACATTTTCATTCATTCCCTCTTATATATGCTCTCTCAGGATTAATTTTCCACTCTTCTTTCTTTCCCGTATCTTTCCAAATCTATGTGATAGATAAGTAAGGATGTGCATTTTGACTGATAGGAAAAACTTCTGTTTTCTTCCTTTTCACTTCAAGCCTCAGTGATTACATTGTTTGAGCTACCTCAACCATTAATTTGAAAGGCTCTATCACCAGCTTATGTTCAAGAAGTAGCACATCCCAGGTATGGACAAGGCAATTATTTGACACTTGGGATGAGCGTTTTGAAAGCATTCAGAAACCACTCACAGAAGAAACCAGCCCTAATGGTTCTTCATAACAACTGATTCCTCGAAGAAATGTGACACACAGGATATTTTTCTGTTCCATTACAAGACTATTAAGAGATGGAAAATTTTACAATTCTCTATTTCATAAACAGTGAGATTGCATATATACTAAGCTGTGAAAGACTGAAGTTACAAAAATAACTATCCTAATTAAAGCAACCCCTATTCCATTTGGGTCTATATTATACCCCCCAAAAATACAAGTGATAAAATTATTGAAAGTGAATGTGTAGGTTATTATGTTTGTAAAACATTTTATATTTATATTAATTGGGTTTGTTGTGTAATACTGATATGCTATTTAAAAGTTTTGTGTACTTCTGAAAGAAGAAGAATGTAAATTAATATTAAAATATTTTAATGAGCCTTAGTATTGTGAACGTAATTTTTAGTTTCATAAAAACTCTGATTCAAGTAAATGTTTGGTGTGTGAAACATGAACTATCATAGTTCTAAATAGCAGCCAATCTTAAAAAAAAAAGAAAAAACTAAAAAAAAATGAAAAAAAAATGAAGTTTATATTTTAAATAAAAAGTAGAGCACTTCCCCACTTACGAAAATGGCTTTCCATTTGGTAATGGTGGCAATATGTGGCTGACCTCAGTGTCATCTTCATACCCCAGAGCACCAGGGAACATTGTTTCCGTTCCATAGCAGAATATGTAAAACACACAATGCTTTGCAGGAGGTGGGGGGGGCAATAAATCAAGTTGGAGTTTCATAAATAGTTTCTCTTAGGAAGACAATCTGGTCTGTTCTGTCTTACCGGGTTGAGTTTCTGGGCATAAGCTTCCCATAAGGGTTATAGGGCAAATGATCTGTCTGAGAGCCTGCTCCAACTTCTTTTCAGCAGGTGGACTGTAACAGGACCAGTGTTAGCTACAACAACAAACCATGAAAGTGAGTGACAATGACATATATTGTTTCCGGTGGCATTGCTTTGGTTTGCTTCTGACTGGCAACACTTGAAGCTTTAAATAAATTGAGGAAGTAGGAGAGAGTAAATGGGAGAAATGTTGAGTAAGTCCTTCTTGAAAATGCCTTTCAGTGGGAGAATATTAGTGGTACGTTATCTCTGCCTTTGAAAATTTGAGATGTGCTTAGATTATTCAAGTTATCTCCCCAAAGCCATTCTAAGTTCTAAAAAGATAAAATTACTATTTATCAAATTATTAATATAACATATTAATTTTAACTCAGATTTATGATCAAGTATTGTATGTGTTTAATACTTCCATTTTTTTTTTTTAATTTAAAAAGATTTTATTTATTTGAGAGAGAGAGCAGGGGGAGGGGCAGTGGGAAAGGGAAAAACAGGCTCCCTGCTGAGCAGAGAGCTTCCTGCTGGTGGAGCTTGATCCCAGGACCCTGGGAATGACCTGAGCCAGAGGCAGACGCTTAACTCACTGAGCCACCCTTGCACCCCCAATACTTACATTTTTTTTTTTTTTAAGATTTTATTTATTTATTTGATAGAGATCAGAAGTAGGCAGAGAGGCAGGCAGAGAGAGAGAGAGGAAGGGAAGCAGGCTCGCTGCTGAGCAGAGAGCCCGATGCGGGGCTCGATCCCAGGACCCTGGGATCATGACCTGAGCCGAAGGCAGAGGCTTAACCCACTGAGCCACCCAGGCGCCCCAATACTTACATTTTTTAAAAAAGATTTTATATTTAAGTAATCTCTACACCAACATGGGACTCAAACTCACAACCTTGAGATCAAGAGTCTCAGCCTCTACTGACAGCCAGGCAGGCACCCCCAATATGTCCATTTTTTTAACACTTTAAGCAAGTGTTTATAATGGGGTTAGAAATTTTTTAAAAAGATTTCTTTGACAGAGAGAGAAGGAGAGCATAAGCAAGGGGAGCAACAGGCAAGGGAGAGGGAGAAGGTGAAGCAGGCTCCCCCCTCAGCAAGGAGCCCCACGTGGGTCTCAATCCCAGGACCCTGGGATCATGACCTGAGCTAAAGGCAGACACCTAACCGACTGAGCCACCCAGGTGTCCCCATGTTCAATATATTTAAGAGACATTTATATTTCCTTTTCTGTGAACTGTTTTTTCATATATTTTATCCATTTTCCCCCTCAAGTTTTGGTCTTACTAATTTGTAGGAACTATTTATTTATTTATTTATTTGAAGTAGGCCCCACATGGAACCCTACACGAGGCTTGAACTCATGATCTGAGATTGAGACCTGAACTGAGATCAAGAGTCATTTTTAACTTTCTGAGTGACCCAGGTGCCCCTGTAGGAACCCTTTTAGATATTAAGGAAACCAAGTATTTAGAAATGAGTTGCAAATATTTTTTTCGATTTGTCACCTGCCTCTTGGCTTACCTTGTGATCTTTTTTCTGTTCATTTTTAAAAATAGGTTTTCAATCTTCTACATTTTATTTCATAGTAGAAAGGTCTTTCGTATTCTGAAGTTACAAATTATTTTATGGTTTTAATTTTTTACATTTAAGTCTTTGACACTTCTGCAGTTCATCCTAGTGTGGAGTGTGGGGTATGGATCCAACATTTTATTCTGGATGGCCCATTTGTCTCGTTGGGATTTTTACGGGTGTCATTCTTGGATTATCCCCCACATGCACGTAGATCACATTTCTGTTTGCCTAGCTTAGAGATCACAACTCAGAAGCCTGTAGAGACTAGGCAGGTTACGTAAAAGGGTGGAGAGTGCCAGGTAGGGAGTATAGCCAACTGGAAATGGGATGGCATACTTTTCTAAAGAGGGCAGCCACTACCCACTGCCTGCTGATTATTCCTTTGCAGGAATGCAGCCGGGCCCAGTGTTGTGAGATTTTTGTCAAGAGAATGGAAATCCATTTTTATATAAAAATCTCTTGATTTTAAAATGTTAACAATTTTAAAATTTAAATATAGATCTAGATAAACAGAATGTGTCTTCAGGCCAGACTTGGCTTAGAGGTGGTTTCCAATATCCTTGGCCAAGAATAAAACTTCCACTAACAACTTCCCTCTATAATACAAGCACAGTCTAGTAGTTTGACAGCCTAGTAGTATACAGCTGGAGTTCTGGAAGAGAAGAGATAGTAAAGACAGTTTGTATAAGCCAAAGTCTTTGCCATCATTGACTGAAAAGTAATTGGAGAAATAAAAGCATTTCACTATCTTTTTATCCCAAGTACATGGGAATGTGGACGTGACTTTATTAGAAAAATTCGTGATTCAGTGAATACTTGGGTTAGAAAAATGAGTTTTCCAGCTCTGTCATTCTGATTTTGCCAAATGACAAATTGGTGTGTGTTTTGGGAAAGGGCAATTGTTGAGTTACTGATGAGAGGTACAGTTGTTTTTTCACCGTGCTCTTCCTTTCCCTTCCTTGCTCCTGGTGGCTGACCCCACTGTGTGCTGAGGGCTTTCCACGTCTCACATCCCTAACTCCTCAAAACATCACTTGATGAAATAGTTAACTACCTCCTATATACCCAACAGCTGTGGAGAGCACACGTCAAGCATCGAGTCCGGCCGAATGCCCCTTTCCCTCCCCATCCTGAACTGCTTCTCATGACTGCAGTAGTGGGGCTCAGAGTGGCACCGAATCAGGATCGTCTTGGGAAGGTCGAGTGAAGGAAGCGTTTGTGTAAAACACAGTCATTTGGGTGGTCTGTCTGGAACAGGTCCCCAGGAAGTCCCCAACACAGTCCAACTCCCAGCGCCTGCCCCCGCGCCTCTGCAACCCAGCGACCCGCCGGCGCCTCTGCCAAGCTCCTCGGCGCGCATGCTCCGTTCGGGGCTTCTCTGGCGACCCAGGATAATGAGCGCCGGGCCCAGGGGGCGGGCCGAGCGGTGACTGCTGGAGCCGGGAGCTGGACTGCGGCCCCGGGGCGCTGTGCGCGGCTGCTACGGGGGCGGGAGCGGCGGCTAGCGCTCTGCGCGCTAGAGTGTGGCTTGCTCTCCCAACGCGCACGCCCGCTCGGTCCCCAGAGCCCTCCAGAGGTGACTCGGGCGGGCCGGGCGGCGTTGCCTGTTGGGAGGGCGGGGATGAGGCAATGAAGAGACAAGCTACCGCCGCCGCTCTCCGCCAGCCGCGGCCGTAGCGGGAGTTGGGGCAAGGGCGAGGTCAGCCGTACCCCGCGCGGTTGCGAACTCAGACAAAGGAGGAGGAGCCCCCCAAGAAGCGGGCCAGCGCCGCCGGGACAGGAGGCCGCCGCCTCGGTCGCAGCTGGGGGGTCGCCCGGACTCTCCGGCCGCCGCGCTTCCTTTGCCTACGCTGCGCGAGAGGCCGCCCGGGCCGAGGAAACCGCCCCCGGAGCCCCCGCCCACCCGCCGGCGCCGCCCCCGAGCCGCCTCGGCTGTAGCTGCGGCCCGGGCGGGAGGTGGCGGCGGCGGCGGCGGCGGCGGCGGCCGGCTAGGCGAGGCGGCCCGCGCCCTGCCTGTCAGGCCACCCGCCCGGCCCGGCTCCGTCCGCGGGCCGCCCCTGATGCGGAGGCGCTGCCGCCGGGGCCATGCAGCAGGCTCCGCAGCCGTACGAGTTCTTCAGCGAAGAGAACAGTCCGAAATGGCGGGGACTGCTGGTCTCGGCCCTGCGGAAGGTCAGTGCCGGTGCCCGGGCGGCCGCTGGGGCCGAGGGAGGTGCCGGGGCGGCCGCGGAGCGTCTGCTGAGCCCGGCGGCTGGCTGGGGGGGGGGGTGGGGGCGGGGGAGTTGGGGGTTGCCTGGCTCCGGCCCCTGCGAGCTTCTAGCACGTCCTCCCAGTGCTCGGGTCCTGCGGGCCGAGCTCTTGCTCAGTGGCTGGGTGTGAGGGGTTCAGAATTGCCTGTTGCATCCAAAAGGACGTTTTCTCAAGTTTTTGCCTGGCCCCGGAAGGAAGGTTTTGTTATGATCATAAAAATGGATTTCATGTTGCAGTCATTTCGTCAGGCAACTTCCGCCGTTGGCCAATTTGTTGTCCTCAGGCTGGATTAGGGCAAGAGAAAGTCTCGCTGGTGTTTACATAGTTTCTAAAACAAAAGTTCATTTCCAGGCCCGGTAATTACCTTTAATCAGGTTCTTTGGGGGTGTTCCCCTAGGCAGTTTGCTTGTCAAGGGTGTCCACTCACGAGGCGGTGCTTTTTTGTAACATGGTTGTGTTTCACGTGTGAAATGTCAGTGGGCCCTAATACTCCTTTTACAATTCTTGAGGGAAATTTAAAGTGCTTCCCTCACTTCCTGCGAAAGGTGTCCTATCCGTTTACAAGAGATTTCGCCTGGAAAATTTGGTGTTTCTTCACTGGGTGCAGTTTAGACCTTGGAATCATTTTAAGGGGGGCAAAAAAGGTGCATCTCATAAAATAACCTGTCAAGTTTGGGTGTATACCCTGGGTGTATCTCTCTTGTAGGTGATGTGATCTCCGTTTGTGAATT